TATTTTTGCGCTGGTATTCTGTGAGTTCGTGGTGCTTTCCCACGTTCGTGTGGTTTGTGTTACACTGGTGATACTACATTCTAGAAACTATCTTTTGGGACTTTTCTTATGTCCTAGTACAATATTAAACGACAGGCCTTGTTTTGGAAAAGTGGCCTTTTGATAAAACTGTTATCTAACTGTTAACATCTTACTAATTTATCAGACCTAATAAAATGCCTCGTAAACGCAGTCCACAGTCTAAAAAAGCATCCTCAACAACGTCTATATTTCAAGTAACTCCCTATATGGACAAATCCGTTTCAGATTAACGTATAAACGATCTAACTGATAGCAAGCAATCGAGCTATATTCAAACGAGGATGCAAACGAGGAAGAGAAGATGACATAACTACCGAATTAAACCATTTCAAAGAGGAAATTAAAACTCTGTTATAATCGTTTATAACAACGCAACAGTTGGAAATTCAAGCTATCACCAGTAAAATCAAGGAAATTCAGCAATCGAATCCTAATATTGATAACTCCATCGCTATCCTGACTAGTCAAAACGAGGAATACAAAAATTAAATAGAACAAATGAAGATCTATGCCTAAAAAGACAGAGAATACAATTCTTTCTAGACGATAAAGTTACAAAGAGACAATCGAAAAACTATTATTGAGATAAAAAGTGTACCAATTATAAATAGCGAAACAAAGGTAGATTTAATATCCATAGTTCAACACTTGTTCAAACACATCGACTGCAAGATCGATATGTCCGATATAAAGGATATCTACAGAGTGAAATACTTTATTTGCTTTTATCGCAAACATGGATAGTTAACTCTTTAAATGCGCTCAGTCAAAAAAGTATCGGGAATGGACGATTCTTTTATGGTTCCAAATTCATTTTTTTTATTGTTGTTAGATTGGCGCTACTATTTTCCATTTTGGTGCGGAGTTTGAGTTACATCTGTTATTCCGATTAAATACAGTGTTGTTTTTCGTTATATCATATCTAGTGTGTATTGCGAATTTCACAATAGACAAAAACATCGAACAAAGAGTTTGTCTTAAATTTTGCATCGCCAATGGAATTTCGTGTTCGGAGTCACAGAAAATGTTACAGAAGGCTTAACGGTGAATCGACTTCATCAAAAACTTGTGCTTATGAGTGGTACAAGGCGTTCAAAAGCGGCCGAGATGTGATAGAGGTTTTGTCTCGCTCTGGTAGGCCATCAACGTCTGCAACTGAAGTTAACCAGTGGAGGAAATAGTGACTGAAAATCGTCATTCAAGTATGAGACATATAGCCGCCAAACTATCTATGTGGCACGAGTCGATCCGTACCATTTTAAATAATCACTTGGGTTTGAAACATGTTGCCGCACGGCTAGTCGCAAAAGAGCTGAATTTTCTTCAAAAACTCAATCGCATAAGAGTCGCTGATGACATGCTAGAACGAGTCAATTCCGACCCAACATTCATGAACCGCATTATTACTAGTGACAAGACGTGGGTTCACAAGTTTGACATGCAAACTAGTCAACAAGCTTCGGAGTGGCGCCTTCCAACTAAACCAAAACCGAAAAAAACAAAACAAAGCCAAAGTCGATCAGAAGTCAAAGTCATGTTGACTGTTTTCTTTAACTATCACGGTGTTTTGTACTCAGAATTCTGCTGGAAAGTCAAACGAATAATAGAAAATTATTATTTGATCGTTATGCGGCGTTTAAGAGAGCAAATTAGACGAAAAAGGACAGATTTGTGGAAAAAAAAGTCTTGGATTTTGCATCACGATAATGCAGCTTCGCACAAGGCCATCATTGTGAACAAATTTTTTACCAAAAACTCAACAAATACCACTGAGCAATCACCTTATTCACCAGATATGGTTCCATCCGACTTCATCCTTTTTTCTAAACCCAAATGACCACTTCGTGGCACCTGTTTCCATTCGGTAGAAGTCATAAAAGAGATTTCGAAGCGAGAACGGAACTTAATTCTGGAAAAAACGTTCAAAAATATTTTGATGATTGAATTATTCATTGTAGAAAGTGTATCGTTTCTGAAGGAGCATATTTTGAAGGTGATAAAATAAAGTTGGATGAATAACTAACATTTTGTCAACTTAAAAACAATACAATTATGTATGAAACCATTGAGTGCGTGAATTTTGAAATTGCATATGAGAGGCTGCTCCAAAAGAACCTGGAGTCTTCACTCTTTTGTGAAGATCCTGACTTGGTTACCAAGCACCTTTTGCTATGGCTTGCGGAGTCACTGGAGGAGAGTAAAACAATAAAATGTTTTAACAAAAACCAGCAGACTATTAAACCTTGGATCAGAGCTGGACACTTAGGTGTATCAGAAACAGAAATAAAATTCAGCTGAAGCTTAGGTCCGCTCCATCAAATGAAATTCTAAAGCTCACTTCCAGATGATATAGAAATTACTGTAATATCCTTATAAAGAAACTAAAATAAAAATATGACAGAGAATTATCAACTAATGCTGCCAAAAGTTCCAAAGAGCTTTGGAAAATAATTAAAACGATAACCTATTTTAAAATGTCTAAATCACATTGCAAAGTACTACTTAATATAGGACCAACACTATTTTGTTAATATTGGCAATAAATTGGGCTGATGATGTTATGAAAAGTATATATCTCATGTCTCACAAAGTAGCAATACGACTAGCACGCTAAAACGACATAACACATATTTTGTCCTCTTGGGGACTGACCGAAGTTAAAAATGTTATCATGGGTCTGAAAACAAATAGTGCCCCTTGTTAGGATAATATATCGACCAAATTTCTTAAGATCTGTAGCCCTGTTGTTTCGGCAATAATTAGTCACGCAAACCAATGCTTTAGATTAGGTGTATTCCCTGCGCTCATAAAAAATCTATTGTTACTCCAGTTCATAAGGGTGAGGATAGAGGTGACGTCAATAATTATCGACCAATTTCAGTGTTACCCGCGATATCAAAAGTCAGTGAGAAACTCATTAATACTCAAATACTTAATTATATAGAAAAAATCAGCATTATCTCTAGCTCACAATTTGGTTATGTCTGTAGATACAGAGGACGCAGTATTGTCTCTCACATCCCTTATTACAGATCAAGTCGATCGAAGAAATAAATGCCTAACTGTTTTTCTTGACCTGAAAAAGGCTTTTGATACCGTCTCCCTTCCCATCCTTGTACATAAAATGAAGTTCGTCGGTGTCGAGGCGTGTCGCTTAAATTCCTAAGCAATTACCTACAAGAGCGCACTCAAAGAGTGAAAATTGAAAATCACGTGACTAGAGACAAGGATATAATTTAATTATAATATATTTGGTGTGCCATAGGGGAGTGTACTTGCCCCAACTTTATTTCTAATCTATATAAAAGATCTTACCAATCTAAGCATCAATGGTGGTAAAATTTACTCTTACTCTGATTACGAATACTACGATAGTTTTTTTCTGGGACTTGGTGCAACACGATATATGAGACGGCCCAAAGTGGCCTCTCTAAAATTTCTGACTGGCTAAAAACAAACCTTCTAACTTTAAATATTAATAAAACAAACTATATGTGCTTCTCAATAAATAATAGAACTTAATCAAAAAACGATCTTAAAGTAAAAATATAGGAATGTGATTAACTAGATTACTCAAACCGTAATTGTAAAATGCTGTAAAACCTAATACCATGTATTAGGTTTTACAGCATTTACCAAACCTATCGACCATCCTGGCATCCACATATTAAATATACGAATGAAAGACTACGAAACTTATTTGGATTTTTATAGTTATAGGCATACAACATCTCATAAATTAATAAAACAAATATACATTTATTTAGTACAATCTACCTTAAGATATTGCTTTCCTGTATGGGGTGGGCAACTAAAACTAAATTCATGGAGGTAGAACGTGGTCAACGTTGCCTACTTAAAGTCATGTACTTCAAACCACGTCGATATCCCACTATGGCATTATATAAGCTTTGCGATCTTCTAACCGTGAGACAGTTATACATTTTATTTACTACTCTAAAAATTCGTAAAATCATACCGTTTGACTCTACAGTAGAAAATAGAAGAAGAAAAAAAATGTTACTAAAACTATTCGCACTATAACAGTGTTTCCCAAAATTCAATATACAGCAAATTATGCGTACCTTTACAACAGCATTAACGGTTTATTGGACATTCATACCACAATTCACCGCGATTTATAAAAATCTGTAATCACCTGGTTAAAAACACAGAATTACGACGACCTTGAGGCACTCTTACACCGTACTTCGTAAATAGCAAATTAATTAATCAGCATACACGCACACGTACACACACAGAAAACACACACACCCACTCACGCAACCTTCACACACACACACACACACACACACACACACAAACGCGCGCGCGCCTCCGCGCGCATGTACACCCACGCGCACACGCGATTACGCGATTACATAAGCGCACAAACGCGCGCGCACACACACACACACACACACACACACACACACACACACACACACACACACACACACACATACACACACGCACACACAGAGAGAGAGAGAGAGAGAGAGAGATTTTTTTATCTGCACTTACATGTAAATACGTAAAAATAATACACCAATTACCTTATTTAAATCGCTGCTAATCTTCTATGTTATGTTATGTATGTTCTTAATGGCTTCTAGTTTCATATAAAACAACGTAATTTAAATGCGTTTCTATTTAACACACACTGACACAGGTTTTCTTTTAAACTTACTAGGAGGATCCATTTATTTGTTTGTAATTTTAATGAAATAAAGCATTTATTATTTATGTTTATTTATTCGTGTTACATCCATAATATAGCCGCAGCGTGGCTCTATCACTAGGAGTGTGGTGTTAAAATAATAATTTACAATTCGTTTACAGTGGAAGAGGTTTTAGGGCTTATTAGGGGCTGATGATGACGGTGACGAATTGTTTTATTGAAGCCTTTTGTTTTGTAGGTGCCTGCTATGCGGAGTTTGGAGTACGTGTGCCCAATACCACGGGATCGGCGTACATGTACTCGTACGTGACAGTCGGAGAGTTTATCGCATTTGTTATCGGCTGGAATATGATTCTGGAGTATTTGGTGAGTATTAGTCGGTAAGTTACTGCTACTAAAAAATTATCTAAAATATGATCATGCCCTCAAGACCAAATTACGGTTACGGCGGCCAGCCTCAACGGAGGTTAACCTAAATGCGCATACATAGATACAATCTCCATTGCCTAACTGTCATAATCCGATGAGACGGCAATCCGACACACAGACCAGTTGCTGGACCAACGGCTTTACGTGCTTTCCGAGGCATGGTCGTAATATTCAGCCAATTCATATCTTCGGGATGCTAATGAAAATTACTTGAATGGAAAACCCAATAACTGACGCGGCTCAGGATTTAAACCGGGACCACATAATTAAAAGTTGCGCTTACGACCACTAAACCAATGTAACGAGGCAGGCGAATGATTTTTTTATAATGTAAAAATGACAGACCAGAACTAACAATACATCTTATAGTAAATAGGTACTATAACCTATGGACATCTACAAGCTACTTAAAACAAAGAAAGGCCTAAAATACGTTGTCAGTCTTACGTGGTCATCAAGTAGATTTTTTAGAATTGCTAAAGCTAATAGAAGACTATATCAATGAATGGGAATGACATGAGATAGTTACGTCACAAATCATTTTTCGGAGGAGTAAAATTTCGTTTATTTTAATGCTGCTAGCCATGAGGTTTTTACAGCATTATTTAATAAAGATATTAAAATCAACTTGCTAATATACGAGTAATAAAATAAAATGATGTGTCTTACCTACTTTGAAAAGAACGTCCCGCTGTCCCTCAATTGCGTGCACTATCCTGGTCACCGCTAATCCCAGCACCACTAATTCCAACACCACTAGGAAAAACATATCACTATCGATAATATGACTCTACACGAGGCATCCTCAGGTGACTCTTTCTTTGCGTGTATTCTAATTTCAGTCAAGCTGACGTCCACGACATCACCAATGAGACTCAATCGTTTTTGAGTCGTTACGCACACTTGCGCGTGACTCCATGATACACACACACATATATATATATATATACATATAGTCAGTCACACATATATATCTCAGTTGTCCCGGAAATAACGCTGCCACAGTCGGTCTTCTACTGAGACAGGTAGCTCTTTCCGGCAGATAGAAAAGAGCTCTGAGAAATACTTTAGAGCCGTAGTTCCGCTCAATCGCTTCTTCAATACAGGCTATATTCGTTCTGCGTATGTCTCGTAGCATGCATTTGAAGGTTTGTCTGTTCAGTTTCCTGTACGCTGTCATATTTATTTATTAAGGTTTATTTCTTTAATTTATTATTGCATTCCCTATACCAAAATAATACAAAAAGCGGACTTAATCCCATGAGGTATTTTTCCCAGTCAACCCATCTGTTGAATACTGCAATTTTAATTTCCGTCAAACAGCCGCGTTTTAAAGAGTCTTGTTTATTTATCATAATTTTCCCTATTCCGTTCTAATTTTTGGAGCAGATGACAACTCGCACATTATATATAATGTGCGAGTTGTATGTGGTATACCACAATATTCCATTCAATTGTCTGTAATTTGTTTTCCTAAATATAAGATTGATCTTTTATTTTTGCTGCTTTTTGCTTGCTTTTTGCTTTCTTCTCACAAAATTTTAATACCAAAAACTTTATTTTTTTCTAAGTTTTCATATTAATATCTCAATGTTTGGGGCTACTGTTTAAGATTTTTAATGACTTTTACAATCATTTGTATTCTTTGAGAGAGTGGGTAACTATGTAGCTTTTACAAATACACTTTTACAGATTATCTTAGAAAATAAAGGCAGTGGTTGGTAATCTTTCTAAAAGTTTATTCATTTGCTTGCCTATATATCTATAATGATATTTATTTATATTTTTAATTCTAATCATTATATATATACAACTTTGCGACGTTTTCTGCCATTCGTATATTTATAACTTTAGTGCTAATCTTGTTCAACGACAACTTATATTTTCTTCTTTCGCGTGGTAATCGATTTGTACTACCTATAGTTCCACTACCAAGAATTTTAAGACTGACTTTCACAACTATATGACTTTTAGGAATATAAATGAATTTTAATGTTAATTTTTATAAAAATGTACAATTAGTTTATTTAAAATTACAGTCTGAAAAGAAAGGAAGAAATAAAAAAATACTCATAGTAAATAGTTATAAAACAATAAAATTTTGCAAAGGCCGTCCCGACTTAATCGAATTCTGAATCAATGGAAGTTTGATTAGCACTCATTTTAAATTTTGAACTTTTGAAAACCGTACCAAGTGCACAATTGAATTGTGGTTCCAATTGGAATTATCAGAACGTAAGTATTCAGCTGTCTGCTCGTAATCGCATGCGTCGAGAACACTTTTTCTTGATTAGTTTGTCCTATATTCGTGGGGTAAAATAAAAGTCTTGCGTAACACATAAATAAAACAACAACAACAATATGTAAACTGATATATTTGCAGCCTTTTATAGTATTTTATTCCATTACATTGTAAAAACTTTTTCATTTGTATTGAAAACATGATGACCATTGGTCTGATGTTTTTAAGTGCTAGTTGAACGCTATCAAGGCCTCTTCTGGCTCCATAAATGTCAAACTTCTCGTCAAATATTTAGTTTTTGAGAAAATAAATAAATTGCATGGTGCGAGGTTTTAACTATTTGTGGGACACGAGCTCAATTTTTTTCAGAAGCCAAAACTGATTTTGTCTTGTTCGCGGTGTGCGCCGAAGTATTATCATGGTGCAATAGGATGCGATTTCTAGAACGTTTTTCCGTAACTTTTTTATAGACTCTGTGAAAACTAATGGTGGTGTGTACTACTCATCACGAACTTAATTAAATGTCTTTTGCTCAACTAGTATCTTTATATCTATTCTGTGTTGTTAGTGCTGTTAGCCTTTTTGGCTTTTACAGATTCATCTGATACAATGCTGTTTAATTTTCTCATTTAGTTGGATCGTTCAGAACGGATTCGTCTGGGAGAAAAACGGATAATTTTTTGATCACGCTTCTTGGCGACTCAGTTTTGTTCAGTTTCGAAGACCCGTACAGAAGTATGTTGCTTTCTTTTCGGAATGTAACAATAAATTTTTGTTTCATCTCGTCACAATATCAGCATTTGAACGTTCGTGATCATACATTAACAACATTTTTTTTAACCACCAATAAACTCGAGCCCGGTTTTATTCTGGGGTAAGTTCATATATTACTAGGAATAAGGCCGCAATAAATGTTTCTAGCTTTTAAATGCCGATGTAATTTTTTTAAATTTAGCCCATACTAATGCCCAAATGTCCTCGAAATTCCTCACAAATGAGGCGCCGATTCTCTTGAACTAGTCGTCTGACAGTAGGTATATTCTGAGTAATCCCAGTTGAGGGTTGACCTAAACGAATGTCGTCGTGGAAAGAAAAACGCCCACAGTTAAATTATGCGTACTATCGCCCCACGGCGAGTGAAAAGATCATCGCTCTAAGATCTTTTCGCGTTAATTCAACTTGTGATAATTAACTTGTTTGGGTATCACGAGATTCTTGTTTTAAAAATATAACATTCGAAATTGAAACATTTATGAACGACTAGGAGCGCAGAAATTTCAGTGTACCTTTCAGTTGTATATGTAAAATACTTTGTTAAATATAATAAAAATAATTAGAAATAATTTGTTAAATGAGTTCTCGGGATAACGAAATATCCCAAATAACGAAAGACGAAAGTTTGACATATCCTACCTCAATCGTGTTTCTCGATTCGAATTAGTTCAGGAGTAAGGTTTTAAAATAATTCTCGAAAAAACGTCATTTTGTATCGACTGCGAAGCGAATTAAAAAAATCCAGGAGTAAGCAAAGACATTAAATTTTCATTCATCGTTAGCCTGTATTAACTCGTGAAATCTTTAGCTTTTTACATTCTTATGGAAAGAAATGCATTTATGAAAAATCATAATACCTAATATACATGCAAAGTTTGTAAATCAGCACTGGAGAGTGTGTCGTGACACCATAATAAAAAAATATATATTTTCTCTTGGCAATTTAAATGGTAAAGATAAACTAAAAGCAAGTAATTGATTATTTAATGATACAATAACATAAAATAGATATATCATTATAAAAGTAAGAAGGAAAAATTTGATATTATTCGTAGATAAGGCTGACAACTTATTTTGGCTAGAAATAATAACTACTTTCTTCATTATGCTTCATAACATTAATTAGTGAAGTCAGCGTCTTTACATTTTATAACGTGTTTACGTGTAATCTAATATGAGAAACTACCGATGATAATAATGCAAATAGTACATAATACCGAAGAGTACAATCTACCACTTTACAGAGTATAATTTGGTGATTTAGTGAGATATACCTCAAAACTTGAAAACAAGATTGCAAAACCAGTGCGTGTTACCAGTGAGGACTTATCGATCTGAGACGTGATCCATCACTGCTGGCCTTATGACGAATGTCAAGATCGTTTAGCGAACTACAGAGAGGGCTACGCTCGGGGTTTCTCTGCTTGATAGACTTAAAAATGAAGATACCCGTAGAAGAACTAGAATAAAACAAATAACCCAACGGATTAGTAAGCTAAATTGGTAATAGGCCGGTCATATAGCTCGAAGAATCGACAACCGATGGGGAAGAGGTGAAAAGATTTTCGAGTGGCAGCCTCGTACCAGCAAGCGAAGTGTAGTGTGTCCTCCCACTAGATGGAATGACGACCTGGTATGCAGGAAGTCGATGGATGCAGGTGGCTCAAGACCGTGGTTAGTGGCATTTCTTAGGGGAAGCCTGTGTTCAGCAGTGTACTTGTGAAGGGCTGTAATGAATGAATTAATGAATGAATGAAAAACTTAGACACACAATTTATATATTATAATATCCTATTTTGTAAAATGTTAAGACATTCGCTTGATTGAAAACGGCAGATAAATAAGCTGTGTAATTCACAGATCGGTACAAGTGCCTGTGCTCGCGCTCTGAGTGCATGCTTTGATTCTCTCTGTGATGGAGCGATCGCCAGCAGCCTAGCATCCGGCATTGGGACAATCTTTGGTAAGCTGTAGTGTAAGAATAAATTGGATCTCTTTTTTTTGTATAACAGAGATTAAAAAAGGTAAATAGGGTATGAAAATGATAAAAATATACAGTTTTTGTCGTCCACCTTCTCAGACATAATAAATGCATCCTGTATTGGTGTTTCAATTCACCTTGTAGGACCATCATCATTTTTGTACACGGTTGGAATAATATGAAAATCTAGATTTGCGTTATTATGAATAAATAGCAAAATTTGTATTGATAGATTTTGCTGATGCAAGATAGTTAAATTCTTTAAACAGAGTAATTGTATTACCTTTCAAGCACGTTAAATTAGAATCACGAGTGAAGGTACAATAAAAGTTACGTCATTTAATTTAAGTACTTTCTAAATAGGTAAACTTTTAATAAAAACTAAACCTGACGTCAAAAAACAAAATAAGTTAAATAACTATTTTTCACATCCTTATAGCTCCTGAAGTCAGTGCTTAGACAAAGTGTATCGAAGAATTACGAGTAAAGCCCCGAAGCTGGTTACACTTTAACACTAAAAGTTTAATTGCTTTATACTCTTGAATGGTCTAAGGAATATTACAAGGTCAAGGTAACACTAGAATGTCGTTTAAATAGGTACATTAGAAACATTTCATCTATATCTTTTACACTTAGGGGTGGGATTTTTATTTATATTTTATGTTACCGTCAAACAATCAATTAAATCGGTCATCAGTGGCCGAGAAATCGGTGAACATACATTATCAAACATACGCTTCGTATATCAAGGAATCGTAGCAAAAGTATAGCCCAGGAGAATGGTCATTAGCAATCCCGACAGAGTCGCAAAGGATTGGACGAGTGATACCTCGCCATGAACTAACGATTGCTTCCCCGAGCCTTCTTCAACAACCCTTCTGCCACAGTCCACCAATACGCATCTGGAGTAGGCTCACTGAGCACACTCAGGGCGTTCTCCTCGGGTAGGCCCCAACAATGTGGTTTCCTTTTAGGTCACTGTGGTTATTTTTTTTTTTATAGGAGAGGGGGCAAACGATGCGGCTCACCTGATGGTAAGTGACTACCGCCGCCCATGAACAACTGCAACACCAGGGGAATCGCAGATGCGTTGCCGGCCTTTTAAAAAGGAGTAAGCTCTTTTCTTGAAGGTCCCTAAGTCGTATCGGTCCGGAAAAATCGCTGATGGTAATCGATTCCACAAGGAGGTCGTGCGAGGAAGAAAACATCTTCTAAATCGCACAGTGGTGGATCGCCAATCATCCAGATGGTGTGGATGGTATCGGGAGTTCTGCCGCGATGTGCGTTCGTGAAATTTGGCGGCTGGGATTAATCCGAACAATTCCTCAGAGCACTCCCCATGGTAGATGCGAAAGAAAATGCAAAGGGATGCAACATCTCTTCGCAGTGCCAATGAATCGAGCCGATCGGAAAGGGCTCGGTCGTCGACGATTCGAGCCGCTCTGCGTTGGATGCGGTCAAGTGGAAGGAGCTGGCACTAGGGTGCCCCTGCCCAGAGATGGGAACAGTATTCCATGTGAGGCCGAACTTGCGCCTTGTAAAGTTGCAGGCGGTGTGCCGGCATGAAATACTGTCCCGCTCTGCTGAGCACGCCAAGCTTTTGAGAGGCCAATTTGGCCTTCCCTTCCAAGTGACCACGAAACTGCACGTCACTTGATATTTCGACTCCGAGGATACCGATACTGGCTGAGGCAAGAAGGGGAGTGCCTTGAAACTGAGGAGATACGACAAAGGGGTTATTTTTAGCGGTAAACGCGCAAACTTGTGTCTTCTGAGGATTAAACTGGACTAGATTTAGTCGCCCCCAATCCGAGACTTTTCTCAGCAAAGACTCGACTTCAGACACAAGTTTGTTCCGGTACTCAGCGACGTTTTCCCGAGAAATATTAGCACGGCCGGTGTATAGAGCATCACCAGTACTGTCATCCGCATAGCAATGAATGTTACCAGTTAGCAACATATCATTGATATGCAGAAGAAACTCCGATCTGCAAGGAAGCTGGTGATCCAATTGCACAACTTCTCGGGAAGCCCATAGGAAGGGAGCTTCGAAAGAAGCGCTTTGTGCAAAACCCGACCGAAGGCCTTCGCAATGTCCAGACTAACGGCCAACGCCTCCCCCTTGGACTCTACTGCCTCCGCCCATCTATGGGTCAGGTAGACCAGAAGATCACCAGCTGATCGACCCCGACGAAAACCGTATTGGCGGTCACTAATCAGCTGGTGATCCTCAAGGTACCGGATGAGCTGGCAGTTAATAATGGATTCCATTATTTTAGAGAACAAGGAGGTGATCGCGATAGGCCTATAGTTGGATGGGTCTGAGCGGTCGCCTTTTTTCGGGATCGGGTGGACAAAAGCTGTCTTCCATGAATTCGGGACTACGCCTTGGGAGTAGGAGTACCGGAAAAGACGCGTTAGGACCGGTTAACTAAACCACGATTATTCCCCATTAGAGTTTTTAATTAATGGCTTGTTTATATCTCTAATGAACATCAAAACTTGTACTGTTTCGCAAAAACAAGACCTCAGAGAAGAATCGGCTAGCAATTCTGGTGTCGTATTTCAAAGCTAATATGCAATTTCATTTTGAATTACAACCTTTAATAAAATAGAAAAAGATCTATTAATATTTTTAAGATGTTAGTTTTAAGAAAATAATAAATGTTACTCCTAATGTTACAGTGTAAATAAGAATTAAGATTAGTCGGCTACGCTTAGGTTTATTTTGAGTCTAGGCTAATGTTATTTATTTTTCATTTATATATAAAGCTTATATTATTTAATATATTAAGTGACATTAGATATATTATGTTCATAATACCAATTAAAAATACGCAATAAGTACAGACAGTATAGCGCTTGACAGAAGAAATGTTATTTTTAAATATAACATTCAGTTAGAATTTAGTGCCCAGTGAGTGATTCTATGTCATTCTTTATTTAAAAGAACAAATACAAAATAATATCACTGCGTTTTCGTTTCAAAGAGAAAGTTGTCATAATAGGGTTTCTAACAATTTTTGGAACAAAACATTGTTCAAACTAAGCTCTCGCGTCTCGTCGCTTTACCACTAAATGAAAACGTTTTTGCACACTGTAATTATTAATAGAGGACATTCTTTGTTTATAATCAAAATTATTTTTTATTAAATAATACTAAGCAATGCTTTCACCTTTACTAATATGTATTCTTTTTACCACTTCATCTAAACTTAACTACTTACTTGTGCAAGAAGTTTCTCATAACTCTACTTCAGTTGCTTGTTTGATATGGATTCGAATACACTACAACGACCCGCTAGTATTTAAAATTGTTAGGCTATTGTTATTAATATTTTCTGGAAAACAGTCCGGAGGACTAAATAAACGATGGTAAAGCCAAATTAGTGATTTTTAACATTGCTATACCATTTTTAATATCATATGTCATCTGTGATGGACGTGTATAATTCAAAGTTAGAATATCCGCAGTAGAACCAGAGAACCAACATAACCCAACGGTGCAGTAAGATAAAGTGGCAATGACCCGGCTATATAGCTCGAAGAGCTGACAATTGTTCGTGAAGAAAGGTTCTCAAGTGGCTGTTGCGTACCGGCAAACGAAGTGCAGGGCTGCCATTCATTAGATGAAGTGACGACTAGATAAGACATGCGGGAACTAGATGGATAGAGGTGGCTCGGGACCGGTTTTGTGACATTCGTAATAATCTATATTGAATAAAAAAGATTCTATTCTATTCTACTATGATTTAAGAATATTACATCGAACTAGAGAGGTCCGGCCATAGCGCCACAGACTTCGTAATTTGACATTTAGGTACTGTAAAATTCTATACTTTACATTTTAGGTCACATACTTCTGCGAGGCCTCTTTCGTGATACAGATTCTAGTTTACACCTGAAAATTATAGAACACTTTTTGTAAAAAAAAAATCAACAAACTTTAATAAATCAATAAGTTAACAATAAACTTCATTTTTGTATTTGGGTAACTGCATAATATATTATTAGACATAGACATACAGTTTTGCTATATTTGGCATGAAACACTTAATATGTTGGTAAAGTGAAATCCACGCGAACGAAGTCTCTGGAAAAAGCTAGCTCAAAATATATTAGGTCTATTCATTTCAAATTAGCGTTTTATATTGAAAAATCAAAATGTAAAAAATTATATTATGAAATTAAAATATATATATATATATAATATCAATTAATGTTATTGTTATCTATGCACTTTCACCAAACTATATATAAAAATATAGTTTATTGCTTCATATCCTTTGCCTAAAAAAATTGTGGGAACGAGAATCAATAAAATCTTTGAAGGCGGTTTCGACCGTAGATTGCTTCATCGGAATTATTTTTTTTTGTGGATAAATAGCCCGAATTCGGGAAAAAGTGGTAATCTATTAGAGCAAGGTCCGGGGAGTAAAGTAGATGTCGGAGACATTCCAATCGCTCTTGTCTCCTCTCAGCTCTCACAATTTAGCGCTCGTCTGTTGTGCAGTGTTTGGTCTAGCGTTGTCGGTAGCGTTTCGGTTATTTAACGGCTAGCTTTTCCATGGCTTGCAATTGTTGTCATTATGAATTATCTCGCATGTAAACTCGACGACTTCCAGCCTCCCGAACAAGCCGGTTTCCGAAAAGGCTTTAGTACCATAGAACACATATGTACATATCGGAACATAGAAGAGTGCAATCTGCCACTTTGCCTTGCGTATGTGGACTATGGGAAAACTTTTGATTCCGTCGATATTTGGGCAGTGCTAAAGTCCTTTCAGCGGTGCCAAGTTGACTGTCGGTATATCGAAGTACTGAAGTGTTTGTACAGTATGGCTACGATGGCTATCCGAGTACAGAACCACACAACAAAACCCATCCATCTGCAGAAAGGTGACGTTATATCCCGAAAATCTTCACCACTGTATTGGAAGACGTTTTCAAGCTACTGGACTGGAAAGAATATGGTATTAACA